ATTGAAAAAGGTTAGTAGATTTAGTAAGGAAAGGTAACTTAAATAATACTAGTAACTGATTTACATGAATAAGTAGATGTATGAATGCGGAAGAGGCGTGTCTATATATTTATAAATAATGTAATGCAAATCTAAGTATCTGTTCAGTTCTATCTGTTCAGAACCCCTAATGTCATACATAACTTCAAATGGTTAGGACTGTCCTTCGAAGCATTGTGGCGTCACGGTGTATTTAGAAGTTGTTTATATTTATACTTTTACGATCGGTGAAGTAGTACATAAGTGAGGCAATGGAGGTCCATCCCCATTGCGTCACTTATGTATCCATCGTGTGTATTTTGGCTATCGTTTTCCTCGTCTTTTCATTATGAATTGTGCATTTTACTAAATAAAGCTAGGGAATATTTATTCTGAGCAAAATTTCAAAGTAGAGACTCTTTTGCTCTTTTAGATGATTTTTTTCAATGTGCAAAGTTGTGAAGTGAACATGCGGGTTACCTATGTATAAATTATAAAACTTAAACCTGGTACATGTTTCAATTTACTTTTTTTAGAGAATAAGCGGTTAAAAGAACAACAAAAAAATTCTTTTTTTTACCGCCTATATCAGTATAAACATAAATTGAAACAGTAATTTTGTCTATTTCTTTTAAATTTGAATTTCCAGCTTACCACATAGTAGTAAAAATCGCAATAAAAAGCAAAACGAAACAGAAACCGGCTCAGTATTGTGTAGTTCGAAAGTTGATGGAGCAACGACCGTTTCAACTTTTTATTGCAATACGGAAAAACAAACGTGAAAACAGTTTTTTTTCATCGTTATATTAAAAAAAAACATCGCATTTTAATCTTACCTTCTTAATATTTCCATCAGATATGAGTTTGTTTGGTAAAATAACTACTAAATAAAGAAAAGTTATTTAAAATGAAACATTTTTTTTTACCTTGTGTTTTGTGTACAATAAATATATAAATAAATAAATAAATAAATGAATATTAAATTAGTAAAACAACGCAAATAATTTGTATAAGTAATTGCAAAAAGGCTAAAAATGACATTGTTTTAAAAATTATTTAACACTAGCTGTGCTCGCGACTCCGCTTGGAATTTTACTCCTTATTACATCAGCTATCTGTCAGTGAAAGTTCCGTCCAAATCGGTCCAGCCGTTTCAGAGATTACACGGAACAAACAGACAGACAGACAGACAAAAATGATACAAAAATTTATTTTGGTATATGTACCGTGTATACATCTATATGCATTTAGTAAAAAGCGGTTATTTTAATATTACAAACAGACAATCCAATTTTATTTATCTGTATAGATTTTGATCAACGGATCAAAATCATAAATAATTTTAAAATCGTCTCAATAATACTTTAGAAAATAGATAATTAAAAGATGGATATTTTGATGATTGATGTTTTTTATAAGGATTTTGCTAAATGCATGGCGTGAAAATACAAAAACAAACTCGTAAAATCCTTAAAGCAGTTGTATGAAATATTATATTATACTAATAAATATCTTTAAGGTAGTTTCAAGGGTGCTTTAAGGGATAATAAGCACTTTGCAAACCATCTGTTAATGTTTATGGAAGGTGTTGATCTCATATCACCAGGTGAGATTTAATTGCTCATTTGCTACCTCCACCTTAAGAATTAAGAAATTTTAATTAAATGGAATATCAAATCATGTTGCTTTTAATGATAGATAAAAATTAACGAAATTAAATAAAATTCATCTAAGAGTTTCTGCGTCGTACGTCTTAAATCTTATGTAAACATAACTTTAACATTTAATAAATTTTAAAGTATTTTATAGTGCTAATCTCAGCACTCAAGATTGAACATTAAAACATGTAGAAAAAGTACGAAAAGATTGTCGATTTTTCTACATGTTTTAAAATTTAATACATGTGAATATTGGAGAAGAGGCAACTGCTCATTCTAAATTCTCTTATTTTTAAATTCGTTGATTATTTATCATATCGACGACATGTAATAAGAGTAAAGAAAACTTTAATTGTAGAAATATTTTTTATTTTTTACTTAATCAAGAAAGATTTTTATTATTAATCTTTTACAGTTGCCGAATGAAATCAAACTTCTTGCTTCAATGGTCTTATGCCAAAAATACTCGAACTTATCTAACAATGGTAATGTATAAATGTTAACATAACATGCCTTGGATTGTGAAGGAAACTTTTCAAACGTAAAATCGACCTACCAGTCTCGTAAATCGCCTCGTTAGAGTATGTGAGAAGAAGTTCTTGTTTACTAACGAGTGACTTGCCGAAGTCGAGTCCTATTTATATAAATTTGACCAATTTTGACGAAATGATGTTGAAAAAATGATTGTTATCTAATTTATGCGTGTTTCATTTTCGTATTAATATTGTTTACATTTTAAACATGCTCTATTAAGTTATTAGAAAAATATTTGTATTGTAATATTTAGCTCAATTAATTATATAAATAGGACATTTTATTGAGTAAATCAATAAGTAATTTGAACTTTAGGATGATTAAAGGAATAATTTTAGATGATATTTTAAACTACACCCTAAACAACCATTACTCAGAATAAAAATATGCCTTTACGGGGACATTCGTTTTAATGGAATTGTGTGCTTAATTTAAAAACGCATATTCACGCAGTGCGTCCTTTTGACTACGAACATTATGGGTTTATTTTTTAATGGTAGTAGCAACAGTCATTTTTTAATTTATAAATGGTAGTAACAAATGTTATTTGATTAGTGCGTAATTCCAATCTCATAGAAAAAAGATTTAGTTTAACATTTTTTGTTAAGTATATAATGTACTTTTGCCGTGGGGTTAACAGGTTTTCAATAATATCTATGATATATTTTTATTGTCCATTCTCCTGTAATAAAACTCATCAATATAACCATTCAAGTCACAAATACCTAATTTTGAGAGTTTAAAATTGGATAATTAAAATTGCAACTAATGGTTAAATTTTATAAACACGAAATAATTTAAACTGCGCCTTTACCACTGAATGCCAATGTCCATTACTTGGCGAAAGCAACGAAACAACGACTCCGAATAAAATCTTCGTCAGGCAATCCAATAGAACGACCGTGTAAGAATTCGCGCAGTTATCGGATGGGATTTCAACCGTGTAGTCACATCACGCGCCACGCTTCCGGACCTTTATTAAACTCCACCGCATTATTTCAAGAACATTACGATTATACGACAGTAGTACCTACATGGCGTGACTGATTGTGAAGTTTGTTCCTTTATCTTTTACTAATCTTCTTAAAATTAATAAGGTGTAACTTAAAAGGTACATTGACAGTATTTGTGATACAGTACAAAATGTGATTCCAAATAAAGTAGAGAGGTTAAAATATGATTTAACATTAAAAAAATGTTAGTTTACTTGTTTGAATAGTCTAATCTCTAAAAGACGATGGTATAGTAGCATAGATTAGAGCAATAATTACTTTAATTAAAAAGAAAATAATTAATTATTTAAATCAGGGTGCAGAAAAAAGGAAAATGGAGGCACTAATTTTAAAGTTGGTCATTTAAAGCAAATTACAGATTTTATTATATTAAAATCTACTTAACCAAAGAAGTTAAATAGGAAGAGTGTTCATCTTAATCACGTCGTGAGATCCATATGGGTAAAGTTGCGGGTACAGTGTCTAGTACTTTAGTCCAAGACTTTTGACAACAAGTTACGACAACACTGTATTTGGGCAATGATTGACGTGTTTAAGGAATTGAACAAACAAAAAAAAATTCGCTCTCGAAGAGTACCAGCAATTCCTGCAGGAATAGGCCAACTTAGCCCCAGAAGTGCTATGGCGTGTAATGAAAGCATTAATGTTTTTGCATTTAGTCCCGAGAGGTATTCGGAGGTTCACGGCCTCCGTTGTCCGGTCTGGCCTCCGGTACGGTCCGATTCAATGAAATATTATTAAACATATAAATTAAGCTCAATTTATCTATTAAAATACAATGGATATGTTGTAATAATACTGTAAAAATTAAAGTGTAATAATGTAGAACAAGTTGGAGGAGTTTTGCAATATGTTATAACTGCTATTGTGTCGTGTTCTTTGACTTCGAAAGCACGAATGTTTCGCTCGATCCCTGATTCGTACTCGTAGCAAGAAGTTTTCGTTTGGCGGGAGTTATCTACTAGTTATCATTATGTTTACATCGTTGGCTTGACCACTAAGATCGCGGTCTGTTTTCAACTCGTTAAGCTCTAATGAACTTCCAAGAAAGTTAGGTCGGACGGTTTAGCTCGCTAATCTTTCTAATTATTGAAGTTAAAAGTCTTAAAAACATTAAATTTAATTTGGATGATCTAAAACTATTATTAATATTAATTATCGATCGGTGCGCTTAGCCGGAGAAATATTTACTAAACAAACATTTCTACAAATTGTAAGAAACATATTTCTCTTTTCGTCGCCTTTTCATATTTTACAACTTTAAATATTTTAACGAGACAGAAAAAAATTAAATCAATCGCAGTCACGCTTAAGAGACGCTTTTAAATGGAAAATGCAAAAAGGATTTTTGAAAATATTCAGCCTGCAGCTGTTACACTACCGAATCTGTGGAATTTAAATTCAACAAATGGGTTCGGAACATGACTGTGGCGCCCCGATGTATTTATAACGACCGCCTTATAACATATTCCGTGTAAGAGTACGAAGACAAAAGCTAGAAAGAATAAAACATAATTATTCTTGTACCGACAAGACAGAATTCAGAAATAATATATTATTAGTACAATATACTATTTGAATTATTTGTTTTATTATTGCCTTCCAAAAGTCTAGGATGAAGTTAAGAGCTATGCATTATAGAAGGTCTATGTCCAGCGGTAGGCTGATAAGATTAATTATATACAATGATAAAATTATTTCACATAATTGTGATGTTGGCTCATTAAGTGTTTCACGAAAGCTATATCTCTTTAAAAATTATTAAAGTAATGCAGGCATGGCCAGAACCAGCGCCAACTTTTCGACAGGCATGACCTACGGAAATGACGAGTTAGTACGTGAGATGCCGAAGCGGTTTTAGGTCCAAGCTCTTGCTTTAGGAGACAACTTTCAGGATTTGTTCCGTGTTTTCCTTTTCAAAAAAGTACAGCTAGAATAATACAAGGATATTAACGTTTTAAAAAAAATTCTCGATGTTATGATCAGGTGAACGTACAGAGCACGCAGCACTACCGTGGTTATTACAGTTATAAGGCGTTCACTTAAATTTCTATTAAATAAATAGCCAAAAACAATTCCCTAATGAGTTTTATTATAATTTTTTGTGTTACTTAACAATTTGTATAAATTTTATTTTATCTACGTTCGACCCAGTTGTATACTAATAATTTTGTTTCATCATCTCTCAACCCTTTGGTGAATTTTTGTCTCGAGATATAGGTTCTTACATAGGTAAGTTTAAATTACCGTTTTTCAAAACTAAACAAATAACAAGTATAATTTTTAACAAAAAAAAAAACCGACTTCAAAACAAAATATTGTTAATTCCTATAGGATTACCCTCGATTTCTCTGGGATACCATCATCAGATCCGGGTTTCCTTGAACGCACAACCCTTTATTGGTTTGCCCGGTTCCGTTCTGGAAATGACTTGAAAAATGAACTCGTGATACTCCGGATTCTTTGGTGAACAATGATGAATTAAAGGTTGTATGGAAGCTGATCATAATCTACAGCCGAGCTAGCAGCAGCTTTTGATATCAGCATTAAAACAATCTATTTGCGACAAATTGGCAAGGTAAAAAAGCTTGATAGATAGGTGCCCCACGAACTTAACGATCGCCACCGCAGCGTACGTGTCGAGACCTGCCTGGGGTTGCTTAACAGACGCAGAAATGAAGGAATGTTAAACCGAATTGTTACGTGCGAAGAAAAATGGATTCCATTCGACAATCGAAAGTGCAAGTTGGTTAGATCCTGCTTCAGCACCATAGCAATGCTCTAAATGAAAAATGATCCCTAGAAAGGTGATGGTCACTATTTGGTGGTCTAGTGTGATTTCTCACAGCTTTTTACAAAACGGCATGAGCATAACTGCAGATGTGTGCTGTGAAGAACTGAAGATAATGATAGAGAAGCTTGCACATCTGCAACTATCTTTGGTCAATTGGTCGGCCCCGATGCTTCCTTACGACAACGTGCGACCCCATACTGCACATCAGACAGTCTCCAAGCTGCAGGAGTCACCGGATCTTACACCTACCGAATATAACTTTTTCCAAAATTTGGACAACTTTTTATCGGGAAAATAATTCAATTTTCGAGGCTGTAGTGCCTTTGAGGAGTTTGTTGCCTGCCGTTGAGCTGATTTTTACAAGAAGGGCATTAATAAACTACCACTGCGCTGGTTAATTACTTTGACTAACAGAAATAAAAAAATACTTTAACTTATTTCATACAAAACGGCAATTCCATAGGCATAAGAAATATCATAGGTAAAGACCTAATATTACCTTCTTATATCAGATATGAAAGTTAATTCCACTTTTATATAATAGATATGTAGATCAATGCCGTGGTCGTTATCAGATTGCTCCATCTAGTGATCAAACCTACATAGACAGCCAAAGAACTACAATGCCATTCGTCTCTTGGCGATATTGGCAGCAGCTGTAAAAACAGATATTGTTTGATTAGCTCCTTATGTAATAAATGAAATGATAAACGGCTCATCTGTTCAAACTTGTTGTGGGTGCTTCCTATCTTGCCGGGTTCTAGCTGCAGATTATATTGAAATTCCATTACGCGTAAGACACTTGATTGAATTAATTTCAATTTGAAAGCAATTTGTTAAACATGTCTAAGTTAATACAATTTCTAAGGTACAATGTTTTAATAAACAAAGTATTAATTTGCTTGCTTTTAAATATGGTATATTAAAATTAATGATTAATTTCAGTTTATTTCTGAATTTGTTGGCAATAAATTGTCAAGAAATTTTCAAGCCACATATTGTATTCATAGTTGCTGATGATCTGGTGAGTAATGCACTGTTTTAACCTGTCCTCAATTTTGAAGGGGAATCATACAATAATAATAATAAAATAATAATAATTTAGGTTTTGGTAGGCCGACTCTAGGCAATAGGTGTCGATAGGGGTAGTATGTACTAGGTAGTTTGTACTTCTAAAACAAAAAAAATCTTTTTTGGCAAGCCTGTAATAACGTATTTAATTATATCTGAATTTCCGTAAATCTGTAAATTCTTCAGGTCATGTCAGCTTGACTGATGCTTTGTGCGTTTATATAAATTTCAATTCAATGTTTCAGTTTTTACGAAAAATGCTGTTGATGGCAACAGCAGTTGGATCAACAGCATTTTTTGTAAAAACCGTCAAGACAGAATTGTGATCTAAGCAACCGGTTCTTACCCCGTGAGGGTTTACCAATGTTAATGACGAAACTTGTATAAAATCAGTTATGTCTTTCCTTTTTTTTTATTTTATTTTAGGCAGTTTACGATGGTTCAATTTTTGACAATTGGGAGCTTATTTTTTTTTTTTTTTCATTTGATTATTCCAGGGCTGGGATGACGTAAGTTTTCATGGGTCCGATCAAATTATGACACCGAATATGGATTGGCTTGCTTTACAAGGCGTTATCTTGGATCAATATTATACAGACGCATTCGGAACCCCATCAAGAAGTGCGCTTTTTACCGGAAAATATCCTATAAAACTTGGTATTAATTTTACCTTATATCTGTAATACAAAATTTTCTTTCTTGTTTATATTTATGTTTTAATAAAAACATTGCAATTTTTATGTTTTCTAGGCGTGCAAGGTGTATCAATAGCCGCCTCTGAAGATCTAGGAATACCAGAATTTGAACGCCTCTTACCTTCCTATTTGCGGGAATTAGGCTACGAAACCTGTTTGATAGGTAAATGGAATGTCGGTAAATCTAGAGAGCACTATCTACCTAACCACAGAGGCTTTAATACATTTTATGGTTTTCTCGACGGGTCTATTGATTACTACACTTACGATCTGATAGAGGTATTCATTTGGAACGTTTTACTTTCCACTGAAACAATTTGAGATTACATTAATATTTATTTTTTAACAGTGTTTGTTTATTGTATAGACTTGGAATGGAGACATTGCGTATGGTCTTAATTTGTACAATAATACGGAGCCTGTTGAGGATCAAATCGGCCATATCACAGAAGTATTTACCGACAAAGCTGTCCATAGTACGTGCCAGCCTTTTTTTACTAGCCTATCTTGTTTGTTATGCTGTCTTAAATTATTTCCTATGTTTTAGTTATTCAGAATCATAACAGCACGTATCCTTTGTACCTTCATCTATCTCATGCTGCACCCCACGTTGGCGGCGGTATGGTTAATCTTCAAACGCCTACAGATACTATCGCAGCAAATAGTCACATCGCGCATTCCGCTCGCCGAATGTATGCGGGTAAGGTCTATCTGCTAACATATAATCAGCCCGAAATATCTTTTTGTAATATCGTGGTGTAAGCGAAACCGCATTTGCTATGTCTCTCGAGGAAAGTAGTATGAATAAAATAAATATGAAACCAGAAAAAAGCAATTTAATTTTTCACTGTTACAATGTACACAATTCATTTCCATGAGTTACAAATATATTGGGGGAGCTCGATCATTATTTACATTCATAACTGTTATGTTTAAGACTATCTTTAATGACATTTTCGTGACACCTCATTTGTAATTATACTAAAAAGACATTTTCGTATACGTTCATTTTTGTAACGTAATATTTTTTTCAGGGATGGTTACCGGCTTAGACAAAAGCGTTGGTCGCGTCGTTGCAGCCTTATCTGAAAGGGGAATGCTGCAGAATACAATAATAGTTATCGTTTCGGATAATGGCGCCTTAACTACTGGAGCTTTGCAAAATTTCGGTTCTAATTTTCCATTGCGAGGTGTGAAAGGCACTCCATGGGAAGGAGCTTTGCGTTCGCCCGCACTCATATGGCACCCGCTGTTACCATCGACGACTTGGAGAGGCCTATTTCACGTAACCGATTGGGTGCCAACGCTATTGAGCGCTGCGGGAGGTAGTATAGCTACCCATATAGACGGAATAGATCAATGGTTTTCGTTGAAAAACGGAGAAAAACCAAAACGTAAGAACGCGTTACTAGCACTTGACAGCCTCAACGGCTGGCTAGCCTTTAGGGAGGGCGATTTAAAAATCATAATTGGGCAAGTTAGTTTAGAAACAAGTGGGTATTACGGTGAAGAGTTACGGGCAATGAAGAAACTCCCGCCTTCGTATGAATATGTGTTATTAAATTCTGAAGTAAGTGAAATCTTACAAAAGAAGTTTGGGTTGAATTTCGATGCAGACACTATTGCTGTAAAGCGTAGAGACTTGAATTTGTCACATTGGCATACACTTCAGAACAAAGATGGTTGCATTCCAACTAAAGGTAAGTTATGCTCGCCGCTTAAATTTTTAGTTTCATTGGTGACGTTTTTCTAATAGTTTTACATATTTTCAGAGAAAGGATGTCTTTTTAATATAAGTGCTGATCCACTGGAAAGTAATGATCTATGGTATGTTTTACCCGATAAGGTCAGTTACTTGACTCTTCGGCTTAGGGTCATGTGGTCTGAAATGATGCCTAGACAAGAGCCGAAGCTCGATCCGAAGGCTGACCCGCTTCTCCATAATTACACATGGTCACCGTGGTTACAAAACGAGGCTTACAAGCAACAATCCAAAAATCGTCCACCGTTCCCGTTACGATTTACAAATAAGGAGTTACGGTATATATTTAATTTAAACATTGAATCATTTTCGGAGAAATTATGTAGGCTGATTAAAAATATGGGCGATTCGTTTATTGAAAGTGTTAGCACTTTATTTAATTGAAAATGAAATATGTTGTGACACATGATCAAATTAACGCATTATCTAACCAAAATAAACTTTGAACCTTTTAAATTAAAAACTAAACTACTAAAATAAAACTTTAAATATAATTAACTAAAGAAATTTATTTCTTTATGCAGTGACATATTTTACTCAAGTTTTAAGTTGTAATAAATTTTAGCTCATATTTATTTGAATTTCTTTTTATTTTTTCCTATAAATATAAGTTTTATTCGTCAAGTGTCCTATGAATATTTCGACGATACGTAAGGAAAGCTGACCCCACCACCATGTGGGATATATAGCTTGGAAGAGAGTGGGATAAGTTTTATTCGCAAGAAGAATATACTAGAGGTCAATACACATGTCAATTTCATTAGTCGCGCTCGTCAACTTATTTGTGTACTCATTCAAGCAGAGGTTAACTGCGACAATACGATGTTATGAATTTCGAAAATTGTATGCGCTTACGAGTTTTTAAGGAGTTTAAGACAGTGAGTTAAGAAAAAACAAATTGATATTCAATTCTGTACGTTTCACTCCAAAACCACCAATGCACTTACAATCGATCCCACAGAAAAGTTTATAGCACAAAAGTTATAGCTAGAGTTGCACGCATTTTGGCCGTAAGCCAGGGTTTCGGCTGCTGCGTTCGCTAACAACTTTATTATGCATTACCCCGTTTCGTGTTAGCCTAAATAAGCAACAGTTCACTTGCCAAGTTTCAGCTTTACATTTTCATTAGATGATGCTTCCGTCGTCACGCGCTGGCAATTAACGGCCTCGCTAGAAAATTCGTGAATTTTTTAACAGAAGCTTAGTTATTTCAGTCAGTTCACGGCCACGTGGTGGTTTTAATGAGAAAGCGAATTAAAATTATCTAAATTTTTTCATCATTTCCATGCCACGCGCGCGTAATTCGGAACATTTTGTTAAGTATTGAAATTAATCTTCCAATAAGACAAACTAGTGCTCATACAACCCTAGTTTTTATTTCAGCTTTTGATGTGTAATACAGTTTGAGATGAGAAACGTTGTTACATAATGCACAGATTGTTATCTGTACTTGTAAGCTTCTGCTGAACAAAGCTAGCTATTTTTACCTCTTTTCGCATTATTTATACCTGCGAAAAAACATATTGCGAAGACATACTTATTTCTCTTATGGAGGAACGTGGCAGATGATCAGACGAACCACCAGATATTGTATGATTACCATTATTGCCATTCACAACACCCTAGGCTGCACTGCCGTAGCAAGCATTTTATCGAGAGTCCGCCGCGGTTTCCATCTCACATTCACTAGGCGAAGCGTAGAAGTAGTTCGTAGAGGTACTTCTACGTACGTCATATGAATTAACAAAAATACTTGCCCTCTAAGGAATCGAATTAACGTCTCTTATTTAAATTTTATTTAAGTTGGAACCCTTCTTTGGACTATGTAAACAGAACTAAAAGTAAGGTCCCAGAACTAAAAGTGAGCTATTAGAGCTATAACCTTTAGTTGAGTCTATGAGTCTATGTATCGAGTACGAAAGTTTGTATTCAACATTGTCTTATTTATTTATTTAATTAAAAATACATTTCAAACGACGCATCAGATGCCGTCAAAACTCATGCGAAAATAATAATTCAAAGCGTTAAGTTTACATTCTTTTTTAAATAGTCATACGTTGTAAAATCATTTTACTCTTAGTCATAATGGTCCTAGTTAACCGATAAGTATTTTTTCGTTTTGGTAACAGCACGTCCTTCTGTTTTCATTTCGGTCCAGTGAATACGTAAAAGGAAGGAAAGCTTATCTTCGACAAAGACAAGAAAAATGTTATTATTTCCGTAATGCTTATAGAAAGGAACAAGTCTCATTTACTTTCTAAACATCCCAATTAGTTTTGGCAATTATTTTGTTCGTCATCAATCAAATACGATAATGTGGTTGAGATTAAGTTTTGTCTTAAGATTAAGTTTTTTCTTGCTAATTATTTCTTTTTAACATTTTTGTCAGATTTTATCTTTCATTATAATTATATTAATAGGTATAAAAATGTATTGAATAGAGGAACTGTTAATGGGAATCGAACTAGCGCTGCACAGTCATGCAATCTTTGTATTGAAATTAAAATAGAGGTAATAATATTATGGAACACTTATTTTGTCATATTTAAATTTCTTGATATGAATTCACTATTTATTTTTAACATTTTATTTATGTTCAATTTTATGTATTACTTAAATCTAGTAAATTTTCAACTGGAAATTTAAATATAATTAAATCATTATAATATAAGCTCTACATTATGAGATATACCTTTATGGTATTTTGGTAGGATAAAAGGTCTTACGATGATTTTTGGTATTTCAAATTTTATGTGATGCTTTAATGGTCTTTTGTGCGGACACAAACTCTCTGTGGTACTATACTTTATGTGAAATATGTTTTGCTTCACAAATAATGTAATTATTGAGTACATATTCCGCATATGCAAGTTATTCTCTATCATAAATCTTTTAACAACCGACAAGTAGTCTTTTATAGGTAAGACTAACTAGAAATTAAATCTGTCCATAGCATAGCATAATTATCAGAAACTAAACACCGAAACAAAAACGCTGAAAAAGTGGTGGGAAACCAAAATATACGCTTGTGTATCCTTTGTGGTGAGAGAATTTTAACAAATTTTTTTCCTACTCTCCAAGTTGGTAAATAGGTCAGGCTTGAAATTGGGAGCGAAAAATCAGAATTAACTTCTTTTCAATTGTTCAATATTAAATTCATACACCTGTAAAGTAGCCAGAGTATAAAGAAGCTTTATGAGAGATAAAGCCTCTTTTATTCAACCAACAACTCTCCGATGGTTTAAAAACATGAAATGATTACACTTTTAAACAAGGTTTAACTGTCGAACTGAATTGGATTACCCTTAACAACGTCTGATAATAATTACACGTCATAGTCTTTAATTTAAAATTCACCTATCCGATTATCGTACGGCTGGTTTCAATATTCTATGTACAGACCGATTTGGTTGCTAGCAATAGTCTGTAGTGAGAATAGACAGTCAAAATTCGATACCCAATATTCTATCGAATTTTGACGTAAGTATTATAGAGTTAATCGATAGTCAGATCTTGTTGAATTGGCTCTATCTAAGGCGCTACATTTTAAAATTATTCGCTGCGCTCTATTTATACAGTCTCTAAAGTACTACACGGCTTGGCTCTTCTGCATTGATATTAATTTGCCTTGCAGTTCCGTTTACGGTTTTATTTTGCGTCGCGCTACCTGCGTTGCATAATTCGTTACTTTTCGAATCGAGCACAACCATTCGTGGGACGCGGCCGCGATGACCGTTCGGCTGGCCGTCGCAACGGTCGCGTGCGTGAGCGGGAAGGAGCACGCCGCCCGCGATCTGCGTCAACGCGTCGATGCCTCCCGCGGCATGCCCCGGCATTTAACGCCCCGTGTCGCGTCGCTCCGCTCGCACACCGTCGCACAGTCGAACTCAAATGTGTCGGGCGCGCGAATAAGTGCACTTTACTCGCAAAACTCTGGATGCCGCTCTGTCCCGCTACCATGGGTGGGCTAATTGTGCTCTTGTTTGTGATGTCGCCGAGTTTCGTAGTCGCGGAAAGGAGAATGACCATCGCCGAGAAACTTCAAGAGGACGCAGACCTCTCGCAGGTATTTAACATGAAAACTTTCGCTAGTGTTTTGCGCGCTGTTAACTTTTGGTAAGGCGTCGTCTGTTGAAAGGTTAAGTTAAATTATTTTCCTTTTACTTGTACGGCTTTTAGCTAAATTATTTACTTTAAAGTTATACCGTTAATTGCGGACTTAATAGTAATTTAACTTAAACTAGTTATCAGAAATACTTTTACATTTGTATAAATTTTCAATAATTATGGATATTGTTGTAAAGATTATATAAAACTTATTGAAAATAGCAGGGCTATTTTGTTCGGTGGTTGTTTTAAATAATTAAATAGTCTTGCATTTGAATTCGAATTCACAATTAAAAGATCAAAAGTTATCGCTTTTCTAGATAACGGTAGTTTGTTAGTAATTATTTTTGTAACATACATAATATTTAACATGCAACTTAAATGGCCTCGAATTCCAGTTTATTAAGTTAAGTGGTGCTTCTACTAGCCTACGTTTTGCACTGCATAAGAACATTTCTTAATCTAATTAATGTACTTTATGTTTACATAAGTCATAGGAAGGTAATAACGTAACATAAAACATTAAAATTAAATTAACAAATATCTTGTTCCAGAACAACTTCATTAAACCTTTTTGTTTTTATATATTTTAAATTTTAATTTAAACGTGTAGGCATATAAAAGTAGTTATACAATCTGATGCTAATTGCATATAATTTCAGTCTAGTAAATTTTAATTTACTTAACTTTTTAGTTAACTTACTTAACTTTTACTTACTTTACTTAACTGTTCGAATTTTGTTCAACTAGAAATAGAAAGAATTATTTACCGTCGATGCATGAAAAGCAGAACAGCATTACCAGTGTTTGGATTTCCTGTGTCTGTTTAAGAGCGAAAATGTAAAACTAATCGAGAAAATAAGCCGGTGTTTGGCTTTAGAAAATCTTTGCTGTCATGGAAATGTCTTTAAGTATAAAAATTTCGCTTCCATACATTTGTGTGCACAGACCTCAAAAACTAGTTCGATGAATTGACTTGATACTTGTTCACATTATATCTATTGATCAGGAGAGTGTTTTCATATACTTTTTATTCCGAAGTTCCAATGGAAACGAAAAAAGTCACAGTGAAGCGTGGACGGGATCACCTAGTTGTTTATCTTACATTGCCCTACTCGCAGATGACAAAGGTCTACGCAGTACAAATAACTTAAATAACTACTTAAAATACAAACCTGACTCATTACTCAAATTTCAATTCGTAGTGATATAATATAATCCCTGTTTATTCAAGGATTATATCATGATAATTCACATAACCTTTATAGTGTGTATAAAGTGTTTAAAATACTAATTCACATAATTTCGATGTTTTGAATGATTCAGAGATAGCCTGAAAGTATTTTTTATTGGTCCGATCGGTACAGAAGGCGATGACTCATGAGTTCTCGGATCCTCGACACAATGTCCCCAACGGGGCCACTCCTAGTCTATTTTTTTGACCAGAATAGATTTGGATTGGTATAATTTTATAACAGGGAAAACAAAGACATACACAGTATTTAAGGGGATTTTTTTCTGCAGATCTGGCACGGCATTTAATGGAAAAAAAGAACGGTAGTTGAACACGGAAATAAACATACAACACACACATGAAACTTATATTATGTCAGCTTAGTCATCTGTAAAGCTGTGAATGAAAATTAGTCTAGTAAAGAATATTCTACTAGAGGGCAGCAATGTCTTGCTTAATTGAAGATACGGCTCAAACGATTACATCCGCTGGTGGTCTAACTTTAAGAGGAATATATTAACATGCTACTTCTTGGAATTAGAGAACGGCATCGTTTTACAGCGTTTCATAAGAAAAAACAAAATTCCCTTGTAATCATGACATAGTGATCAAAATGATAGTGTATCGATTCAAATAAACTTATTTTAAAATTAAATTTATTTTATACAATTTCATTTTAAACATAATGTAGATCAGTAGCAGGTACTTAAGGAATTAAAAAATCCTTTTGAAGTCTGTGCCACTTCTCATGTTACTTGCTTCCTTAGAGAAATAATTATATTGGACAACGGGTCTTTCATCCAATCAACGGACAGTTTAATATCATTTGAGCTCCCTCCGACGTTATAAAGAACGCTTAAATCAGATAACAGATTTTATTACACGGTATATCGATTTATCTTGGTATCGGTTAAATCAATATTTAAGGGTATTAAATATTTCTAATAAAACCTACGATATTGGACTACACATTTTATATGTACGGTTATTTAATCTTTTTTGAAAAGTTTTTTTATTGATCGTTCTTGAAATATAAAAAGCTTAATACTCACTCGAATTATGTCAAATTGAAAAAAAAAAAATATAACATTTGCAGTTAAATTAGTTATGGATTGACTACTAGAATATATTGTTTTCTTTAGTACCAATGTTTGAAACACAACAACAAAACAAACTTATCTCCAAAAAGAACAGCATTTAATTGGCAATAATTATGTTAATTAGATACGTATATTGGTAACAATTTAAAGCTTCAGCACTCTTTAGAATTTTTAATTGTATATTCATGTTAAGAATAAAGGATAAAACTTGAAAACAGTTAAATTAAAAAAAAACTAAGGATTAAAGAAGTATGAAGCCGTAGACAGATATAGACAGATCCAAACTTACCTAACCCATAATCACTGACACTATTGGTCCAAACTAGAACTGATTTTGCCTGGATAATGGATGGACTATCAATTGGTCAAATTTAGACCATGATGTTTGACAATTATCAAAAAAAAGTTTCGATTATTTTTACTAAAGCTCGGCAATAACTGTAACAGATAACAAATCACTTATTGAATTTAGACGGGGAAAACGTACTGAACTGTTTTGTCTTTGCGTGGTATTGTATAGATATTGTACACTATAATAACATATATTTTTAATGACAAAAAATCTTTTGACAAAATACTCAGTATCCGATTTCGCTTTTCGAAGTCACAGTTGTTTTATGCGCTTTTATACTCGTATTATAAATTTTATTTATTTATTAAAGTAATGATGAAATACCATGTTATGTGTAAAAATGTTTTGTGAGAGAATTTTGATTATTCCTTAAATCATTAATGAATCATTTTGATATTACAACTAATGAGGTATTAGGCTATTCTTAAGGTTTATCTTCGTAGTTACTTCCCGCCATTGTTCCGGGGTTCAGGGAGCCGACTAATAAGAATTGGTGGGGGGTTCGTTTTAACATATAGATGCGGGCGGGTAGCATGACACATCTTTGACGATTCTGTATTCAACTCTCGTCGGTTCGTTGTGACACGTTTTCAAACAACGCATCCTAACGTATTTTAACGTATTTGTACTTGCCTCATTTGAAACGGCTTAAACACCTTTCCTCCTTGTTGAACATCAGTAACTTAGAAACATAACTAAGTAGTGGGGAAAGGACGGAAACGAGTGAGGTTTAGATTTTACCGCCAGATTCCATATACCAGCATTGATCGACTTTTTTTTAAATATATTTTCTTAATCTACTTAAACTTATTTGAAAATTACTTAAATACGTGCACTATCGTGTTCATGAGATGTGTACATAAATTATATAAAAAAAAACAAATATCGAGTTGTTTGAGACACTTTTTTCATTCGCTTACGATGTTCTACTCCCCACAATACTCCATTCACAAATAATGCAGCAGCTGTTGGTCCCATTATACGTGTCGTTACACAGAGGATTTTCGGATTTCGTGCAAAGTAGACCATAATCCGAGGCAATTAATAAAGTTGTACATGAACCCAATCGGCTCTACAATCCGATGCCAATCGTTTAGCTAGTGAACGAGCTTACTGAAATGACATTTTACCTATAGACGCGTGTTACTCCAACATCATTATACTAAAAACAAAAGAAGCACAAAACACAAAAACACGAAAGAGATATAACATTACGATCACTATTCACTAACCCTGTTGTTAGAAATAGATGAATGAAAAACTTCTTGTAATGTCTGGATGAATAGTATACATAAATGAATATACTAATTCTAAACCTTATTATTTCCAAAAATGTGAGTGCAAACAACGCATGCATGTATTATGCTTGCTACATAATGCACGCTTATATAAACGTCTACGTTTAATGTATTTGAAAGGTTGACGATAGTAAAAGGGTATAATAATTATTCGTTAACTTTCGCGGAGGTGTATAACGTGTACCCGTCACCTGTCTGAAGCAGGCAGATGGTTGAGATAGGGTTCTTCTTTATATTCACCACGTATCGGACTCGGAGCGAGACGTTGAAGCTTCTAACGCGCTTTCAGATAGGGATATGGATGGTATCCTTTTCGATGTGAATGCACGAATGTTAAATATGCTTACATTTGTTTATCGTAGCATAATATCTCGCGTTTATTGAAGCAATAATAATAATACATTTATTTACTAATTCACTGGTTTTACAAATACAAGTGCTCGTTTATTATTTTGTTAGTGTTTATAAATATAAGCTCGGAAATATAGTCGATCTCTATGATAGACAGCGATATTGAATGGTTTGGTGCGATTCATTCTCCTTTTTTGTATCTATACATATATATATATATATATATATATATATATATATATATATATATACATATATACGTACCTACTTTAATCAAGAAACTATTTTGGGACCTCAAATTGCAAATTGGGAACAATAATCCATCCGGTATATTTAGTGATATTGAGATTGAATTAATCCGATTTCGTGAAGCGCCCACTGGCATGCGCGTGAATAAGCAGTGGAATGCGGGTGGCGGAGGAAATATTGAATTACGTACGATAATTGCTCCGAGTGGATTTTTGAGAAAAGTTCGTAACCGTCGTCGTCTGGCGGTCTCTAAAGAATTCGCTGAGCTAATCGGAAC